ACATTTTACCATCGTCATGTATTATCTTACCTATTCGTTATTCTTTGTCAAATTTTATTGATATATAGGTAATTTTTTATGCTGAACAAGAATTCCGTATTAGTTTTATTATTTGGGAAAATCCATGGGTATTTTTATAAAAATTCGTTCGGAAAATCAGCATAAGGTTTCTCCGAAAAATTTTTTCTAAGTTATTTTTCACAGAGATACCAGTTTTCTCTTGAAGAGAGTTACTTTGTATCGGCTCATACTTAAAATAGTATTTTTTCTTCCAGGGCGAACGCTTCGATAGAATGAATGAATAAAAATGCTTATAATTGTATTATTATTTTTTTATTATTGGTCAATCAGCGATATTAAAATATTGTAGTTGTCATCACTAAAAACTATGCATTCAAAGAAATAAAACCGAAAGAAATCAATAACTGTTAAATGTTTCCTGTATTTGATCTAATTGCTGTCCTGTTATTATGAAGCTGTTTCGTTTGTGTTGCGTTGGTGGTGTTACTAAAATTCCAATTAGTGTTTTAACATCAACAGCTAAATGATCTTTTATTGATGGAAAACGAAATGTTGTTTGTGGACCTTGTGGATAAAGAAAGGAAATAAAGATTTCTTTCGTTTGTTTGTTGATTTATAAAGACTTTCCTAACCACCACTCGTCTTCATAATCAATAATTAAAAAATCATCTTGCTACAAGGCATGAAAAAATGCGTTTTAACAAGATTTTTCAGATTTGACTGGAAACTGTTTAATGGGTTATAGTGTCAACATATCATGTCTTACCTTTATATCAGTAACTTTCTTAACAAATTTTAGAATAGTTTGATTTGATGTTGATGTTGCTGTTATCATTTGAAATTGTTGAAAATATGTGGAAATTGATGTTGTTTTACACTTCATTATATTATTTTTGAGTGAAATGAAATGATGAAAACCACGAATTCCAATTCTGAAATATTCAACAATGATATAAATCAACTTTTGGGTTAAAAAGAAAGATGTAAATCACTTACATTGGACCTGCTGATGGTCTTTGAAGCCAACGTTTAGCTAAAATTGTATCATATATTTTTCTAATATCAGTCTCATCAGCATAAAAAACAAAAACTTTCGGTTGAGATAGTTTTGTTGTTGCTATATTTGAACGTGATTGATTCGGTATATATTCGAATTTTTCTTTTGAAAAATTATAAAATTCTAATGATGATGTTAATGAATGTTCTGGTCCTGGATGACGCATAACATGACGATAGGCTGTACATTTGATTGTGGCACCAATACCATCGCATGGTCCTTTGCCATGCGATGTCTAAATGGATAAGAAACAGAGAATTCACAAGTGATTTCAGGAGTAAATGTATCAATTGCTACCTACACTAAAGAATATCCATTCGGCATCTAAACCGAAATCCAATGAATGATACGATAAATTAATAAAACTATAGTTGTTCTTAAAGTGACTACCACAACCGTCTGTCAAATAATATATTTTTTTCACTTTAGGAAAATGATGTTTAATATGATCACAGATTATTTGTTGAGCATAATACACGAAACTGGTGTCATGGCTTAATGAATCACTAATTACAGCAATATTTGAAACCTAAAATTCATCAAACATCGTAAACAGAGTAATGTTGTCAAAAAGGTTCCATATGAACGCATTTTTTGCTTAAGAATTTCAAGTCATTAATGAAAAGTGACACATTTTATTCACGAACTCCTTATTAGAGTCCGTAGGATACATCCAAACCGTAAGAATTCCGTAGTGGAAAAATGTTATGGTACGAAATATGTGACTGAAACGATTTTTGATGAACTCTACTAATAGTTTTGTGCGAAACCATTTTGTATAGTAAATTACAAA